CTTCTGGATCCGAAGAAGGGCCATGGGCTGTCGGGCGGCGGTCTGATGGGCGAGCCTGGAACGGGGCCCGGGAAGGCAGGCCCTATGGGGGGTCCCGGGGGCGGGGGAGGGGGCACGTGGAGGGGCATGGGTGGCGGGGGCGGCGGGGGCGGGCCCAGTGGAGGGCCTGGCGGAGGAGGAGGCCCCAGCAGGCCCCCCATGGGCGGCCGCACACCCGAGGGCAGCGTGGAGTACGGGGGCGGCACGTGTGAGTGCAGGAGGTCGGGCAGGTGTGCGTCGTGCACGGCGGCAGGAGGCGACGTCGTGTCCCCCCCGATGCCTCCGCCTCCTCCTCCGACGTCTGTCTGGCCAGGCTGGGGCGGCGGGGGCGCGGCCACGCCGGACCGATGGGCGCGACGCTCCCGACGCTCTCGCCGCCGTTCACGACGACGCTCCCGCTCGCTCCTCCGCGCCTCCTGCAGCTGCTGCTGTTGCTGCTGCTGTGATTCCGCCTGCTGCGGCTGCTGCTGAGCCTCCCCCACCGCCTCCAAGCGCTGGTGCTCCCCTGCCCCTTCGCCCGTAGGCCTCGGGGGGCTGGGCTTGGGGGGCCTCGGCGCGGGCCTGGGGGCTGCCGAGGGCCCGCTGGCTCTGCTGGAGCCCCCTTGGTGCGCCTGCTGCTGCTGAGGATTCGCTTCGTGCCCGCTGATGATGCTGGGCGTGGGCGTGGGCGTTGGTGTGGGAACAATCCTGACACTGGACACCTTGGTTAGCGCACTGACGGTGGGCGCCGCCACCGCCGTGGTGGTGGTCGCGGGCGGCCCGCACAACACGACACTCGTAACACTATTACTATTGTTGTTGCTGCTGCTGCTCATTGTGGCAGACGCAACACCGCTGAGTAGAGGAACTCGTGACACTCTGGCACTCATTGGCACCCTCGAATGTGCCGCTACAGATACACTGTTGGCAGCGGAGGGCCGCATGGCTCCTCCCGCCTCCACCATGGTTTCTCGCACACTGACGTCCGCGCTGACCGCAGGCCCGCACACCTCCCACCCCGACACCGTTTTCTGTGCGGGACTCGGCGCCGTTTTCTGTGGGGTGCCGCAGGGCGAGGCACCAGATCCCACTGTATCTAATTCCACTTTCACAGATTCTACTACTCTCTCTCTTCTCTCCTCTTCTTCCCCTCCTCCTCCTCCTCCTCCCCCTCCTTCTCCTCCCCGTCCAACGGAGTCCACGGCTTTCTCGCTCCCTGTTCCTCCCCCTCCTCCTCCTCCCCCCTGCGGAGCGCCTTCTCTAGCTCCATCTTTCACTCCCACTCCATCACCCACTCTTCCTCTCTCCTCTCCTCCGCGCCCTCGCCCTCCTCCCCTGGCCGTGATCTTCGGCAGGTTGCCTTCGTCGCCGCTGGAGGAGGAATCGGACACGCGGGCGGGCGCCTCCTCGTCGTCGTGTATGTGGATGACCCGAACGCTGCCCGTGTGGTGCCGCCACTGGCCGCCCAGCCCGTTCTGCTGCAGGAATGGCGACGTCGAGGCCGCCCTCCGCCCTCCGAGACCGTTGAGGATGGGCGTGGGCGGCAGGGACTTGGGCTGCCGGCTGAGGGTGGAGCGAACGTGCTCCTCCGGCGGGAGCGTCCTCACGTGGACGCTGACGAAGGGGCGGCGGCTCCCGGGCCTCGTGGCCTCGCCAAAGGATTCCAGGTCGAAGCCCACGTTGTCGAAGCCGCCCGAGTGGCGCTTGAGGGCGGGCGAGGGCGGGAGGTTCCGCAGCAGGAGGGCGGCGTCCAGGGAGCGCGGCCCCTCGTCCGGCGGGGGATCCAGGAGCCCCACGCGGGAGATCCTGCGCGGCTCCGTCATGGCGTTCATCATCATCCTCTTACCGGCGGCGCCACCACGATGCCGGTGCCATGCTCCGGGGGCCCGGGGGCGTCACGCTCCTCCTGGGGGAAAGGACAGCACGTTAGGGAGACTGGGAATGGCTGCTTACAAAATAAGCAAGAACAGTATCAATAATAATACTACTGCCATCACCACCACCACTAATAATAATAATAACAACAATAAAAACAACAACGAAAGAACAATAAAATAACAATGATAATAACAATAACAACATCCTTCCCAACAGCAACACAGACGACCACCCCAACCCTCCTCCCACCCACACACCCCCTCCCCCTTTCCCTCTTCCCCGATAGCAACAGCACCCCACCCACCCCACCCCCAAAGTCGCTCAATATGACCGTCAGCACAGCCACCGAGCCGGCAAATGTGTGCACATGTCCCTTAACGTGGATTTAACTAATATTAGCTTCATTAGCGCCGCCTCGACCACAGGTGCTCCATTTACCCGGCTGACAGATACCTCGCGCCTGATACTCCTCCTGACGTTGTGAGGGGAAGGTTGGCTCGGCTGACTGTGCTTTCGTATTGAGGTATGTGTGGGGGAGAGAGATGAGGGAGAGAGATGGGGGAGAATGAGGGAGAGGGATGGAGAGTGATGAGGAAGAAGGATG